AGGCAATGGGGCTTTCCCTTAAGGTGCCAGTTCTCAAATACAAACTGAAGGAAGATATAGCACATACAACTACACAGCAACTGTGATTAATGCAGAGGATCAGGCGCTGTCATTTTGAGATAAATTATGTGTCCTTCTTCCAAAACTCTCACTATGAAGTTGTCACATTGGTTCTATTTTCTTGACTGTTTTAAAGAAAATCATGATACAGACTTAAAAAAAGATAAAGAAATGTATTTGATAGTCACTAAATTATATGGAAGGTTAAAAGGAGTGCTATATTAGAGATGATAATAGGATACATATAGTATAGGACTCAGATTTATAAAAATATCAATAAAGGATTTTTTAAGTCATGATTTAAACACTTACATTTCCATTTTTTTCTTATATTGTTTTATTTTGAATAACAATCAAAAGATGAAACCAGTCCCCCGAAAGACAAAGGCACGTGGAGAAAAGGCATCCCGAGCATCATGAGAAAGACTTTTGAGAAAAAGCCTGCCGCTACCGGAACGTTCGGGGTCAGATTGGACGATTGCCCGCCAGCTCACACCAATCGGGTAGGAGACTCCAGCCCGCTGGGTTATCTAACGCTGTAATTCACCTGTGGGACTTGTGTGCATGGCCATTCAGATGACAGAGAACCTGTTGATTTATTGGGTGTTTTCCTCTTCATAGCTGACCTTAGTTTCCTCGAGCATTTCTGATCTGTAAGGATGTGTTGATTAATGTTATCAGTAGTGCTTTTTTCTCATTACTGATTCTGAAATAGAATAATTATTCAACTATTAGGAATATACCTGAAATGGTCAGTAAGAATTTATTTTCAAATCATGTGTTTCTGCTTCTAGCATCATAAAAGAAGGGTGAGAACAAGGGCCTGATTAAGAAAGTATAATAAATGTAATTTTGTGTGTGTGTGTGGGTTCATATCATGAATTGATTGATGTTATTTCCTCCACCCCTGCTTTTTTTTTTTTTTTTTTTTTTTTTTTTTTTTTTTTTTTACTTTATTCCTATTTAAAAACATGTAAGGAGCTGTTCTTACATTCTCCTTACATATTTTTGTTTTCTGTTTAGACTACTATCTCCTTGTGAACCCTTCCCTTTCTGTCTTAACCTAGTTTCTCTTCCCACTGACTCAAATATATCTTGCTTGTTTTATCATTTCCCAGTTCTGCAGTGTCTATATTCTTTATTTTCTCTATCAAAAAGCAGTAATTTATATATTTTCTTTTGGATGGTATACAAGGGCCTTTTACCTATGGTATACATCTAACTAAATATAAACATTGGTACTATATTAAATAAAATAATTATTTCTTGTTTTGCAGTATATTCCACTAATAGTTGACATATGTTGCAAATTAGTTGAAGAAAGAGGTCTCGAATATACAGGTATTTACAGAGTTCCTGGAAATAATGCAGCCATCTCAAGCATGCAAGAAGAACTCAACAAGGGAATGGCTGATATTGATATACAAGATGATGTAAGTTGTTTGTTTCTTTATGGGTAACTGATCCGAGGTTTTTCTTTGGTGGTATTGACTAAAAAACTACTGGATTTTTATTTCTTCATACCTAGAAATGGCGAGATTTGAATGTGATAAGCAGTTTACTAAAATCCTTCTTCAGAAAACTCCCTGAACCTCTCTTCACAAATGGTGAGTGAATGCCCACAAAAGAAACCAGATGAAACAGTCAAATATTACTTTGTTGGAAAACCATAGAATATTAGATTGAAGAGGAGAAAATACATTTGTCAAAGAAAATAAAAGATCTTCTTTAGTTTTTATTTAAATATACAAGGCATGATTTTGTACTATTTTTTTTGTCATGTGGATTTTTTTATCCTGATAAACATTAATAAACACAGAGTTTCAAAAGTTCTTCACACTCAGTAAAATATATATTATCTTGTTCATCCATATTTGTAAAGTTAAAATGAGAATTATTGTTTTCAGTCAAAAGTCTTCAGACCTAATAAGATACAATAAGTAGAAAAACGTTTTTTTCAGTCAAGCCAAATATTTGACTTACATAAGACACTGTTTGTGGTCAGGGAGAGAGAAGAATATACAGAGTGTATAAATGCAGGAATACCACAGAGAACTCACATCTTAGAGAATTTCCTTTGATTTGAAGATAAGGGTTTGAGGATCATTAAAAACTATGGCAGTATTAGTAACTTACATCTCAAAGGCTATTTAGATTATATACAACTCACCTAAGCAATTTAAGATAAACTTGCCTTATTGTTATTATTGTCAGATAAATATGCCGACTTTATTGAAGCTAACCGGAAAGAAGATCCTCTAGATCGTCTGAAAACATTAAAAAGACTAGTAAGTATCATTTTTCTATTACTGGGGGTATACCTAAAATTGAGCATCTCAATCCATCCTGAAAATAATATGTTTCAGATTCACGATTTGCCAGAACATCATTATGAAACACTTAAGTTTCTTTCGGCTCATCTGAAGACAGTGGCAGAAAATTCAGAAAAAAATAAGGTATGTACCACCAGTGGCTTTAGGTAAAAAGATAGTCTTCATTGCTTCGTGTCAAGTAATAAAAAATAGGGTTATAATTCAACAAAAGCTCTGAAATGCATCATATTCTCTGATCAGTTCCTCTAAAGATCACTCTGAAAAGCAAAAGACCCAAAAATATCAGTTGTTACCAGTTTTTAAGATATTTCTGTTTCATTTATCCAGCAAGAAAAATGAAAAAGCCAGAAATTTGACCTCTTTTATTTTCCAACTGTATATCAATATTTTGAATAGGCAACATTTGCATGATATAACAGTCGATGTACCAAATTGTGTACAGTGAAAAATAATAGATGTTTTGTTTAGTTTTAAACAGCTAAGATCTTTTTTGGTTATTTTTAAGACTATCCCATTACCTTTATTAAACACATCTATATTTGTAATTTCTTACTTTTTTCTAATACTCAATCCATGTTTAGTTTTTCCTGATTGATATGTGGACCTTGTTTGGATATTGATTTAAACAAACAACTGTAAAGACATTTCTTTAAATCATCATCCAAACAAGGTCCACGCATTGTGTTTGATACATTATTGTCTTAATTTTTCATCATTCTCATCACTCTTTGGTGATTGTTGCCTCAATCCAGTATATCATCAGAGATGGCAAATGATGATTCTCAGGCATTACTGCTTAAAATACCTAAACAGCCATTTGGTTTCTGGAGAAGAAAAATCGCCAGAATACAGCAAGTTTAGGAATACTGCTGTCACCCCTCTTTCTACGGGCAATACCTGCTAACGTAGAAGACAATGCTCTGATACCCTGGAAGACAATTGTTCCCAACTTGTAATAAGGTCGGATTATGAGAACAGTGTCAACCCTATCACCTATAAATTGATAAGATTACAGTGTTATAATTTCCTTTAGACATTCAGTTTCCTCAAGTGATACAGCCATGGAGGAGGGAGGAGAAAGGGGAAAAGGGTGGGGGGAGAGCACCTATATTAATTGATTGTACTACTTCCAGAACTGCATACAGTAGGAGCCAAAAAGTTCTCAATATAATTAAAGTTGAAATATTTCCTAATTCTTTCAGCATTTTCCAAAGTATAGTATGTCATTTGTCAGTTTTGCTGGATGTTAGTAGGAGTTATTGGTCTAATTAGTTTGTGAAGCATAAATTAAGCAAAATTTAACTGATTTTTTTACTGCAGAATTTTTAAGAATCTTTAATATATTAATTAACTCTGTGAGTCTTAAATAAGGTTATAAGGCATTTCATTCCCTAGACTTATTTGACTACACATTGTGGAACATCTTTCAAAAAAAATACATAATTTAAGTAATTAATGAATAAATAATCTGTGAACTACTTATGTTATTAGTTTTATATGGAAATCAGCTAAAACTGTATATGTAAATAATAATGCATGTTATCATTAGCCTAGAAACTTAATTAAATCATAGACAAGAATCTAGTAATATTTTACACAGACCTTCGAGATGCTGGACTTAATGTTTTTTGATCGAAGGATGAGATGACTACACCTTATGGGGAAATGAGAACCATGTATTTTGTGCCCAGATGAAGTAAACCCTTCCTGCAGTCATATTTTCCCCCCACAAAGTTAGCTGCCCTCAATCACAATATCTCCTTATTTCTATTCAGAAGGCATCGTATGAGATGTGTATTGTGGTAGTTAATGTGTTAGATGCATAACAATTGCTTCAGAATGGGAAAAGATCTGTGGGTTTTCCACTTTATACCATATCTGAAAGGTGTGTGTGTGCACGTGTATACTTCTCACAAGATAGTATGGTAGTGTGGTTCCTTAAGTAATTTTTTTTTTTAGTATGGCTTTGAGTTCTGTGGTCTTTTTTTAACCCCCTTAATATGTTTTCAAGGACTGGCTAACGTTATTTAAGATTTTAATCAAATCATAAGTTCAAAATATTACAGCAGACCCTGTAAGATATAACAAAGAAAAACCAAAAATCCACACATTTGATAATTGTATAATTTAACAAAGACTAGAAATATCATGGTAATGAATATACAAACATAAGCATGTAATATTGAGGCATTCAGGTTTGCTCAATGGTAGGCAAAGAACTTCAGAACATGTGGTTGAAGTAAAAATTAAGAAAGAATACTTTCAGACATTTGATTTTTATATATTAGGGATTTTAGTGGGCAAATTTGGAAAATTTTATGTACCTTTAAGTACTTTTCTAGTACTTTTTTTCCCCCTCTTTTTTTACAATTATAAAACCATTACATATTTATTGATTTGGTAGTGCAAGAGAGACAGCAATGATGAGAATCATGGATCAGCTGCCTCCTGCATGTCCCCTATTAGATGGGGATGGAGCCTACAACCCGGGCATGTACCCTGACCGGGAAAGGAACTGGGACCTCCCGGTTCGTAGGCCGACGCTCTAACCACTGAACCACAGCGCACAGGGCTGCAGTATCTTTTTTTCTGCCCTCCACCCCCCATGGTTGTCTCCAAGACCTGAAACTGACAGCCACCATCAGACAGTGTCTGGCCGTGGGGCTGCTGTCGCACTGGAATGGAACCCGTCAGCCACAGGTCACGCACAGTGCTGTTTTCTTCTTTTTTTAGCTTTTGAGGAAGGGGTGTTTCCATGATCTTTTCTGAGTTTTTTCCCTCCCATATTAGTATTTTTGTCAGTTAATCTAGCTCTAGAAATACTAGTTTAGAACCAGTCAATTGCTTTCTATCAAAGACATCTTGGAAGAAAGGAATGCCAATTAAATGTTTTACATTATCATGAAAGCAGGAAAAAGAAGTTATATAGACATGAGCTTATGGGAAATCCTGACTAGGAAGCATTTGTTTTTAATTTAAATGTTTTATTGTTGACAGTCTTGCAGATATCCCTCAATCCTGCCCCTTTTCCCATCTCCGCCCAGTCCCTGCCTCCCTGTATTTTTTTGTACATATCAACCAACCATTCATTCTTTGAATTCTTTTTCACCGAAAGAACCTGTCAGAAATAAAATGCCAAACAGGCAATGGGACTTTAAACCTATTTTCTTAAGAAAAAATATGCTATTTTCCAATATTGTCCTTTATTTCAGATGGAACCAAGAAACCTAGCAATAGTTTTTGGCCCAACTCTGGTGAGAACATCCGAAGATAACATGACGCACATGGTCACCCACATGCCGGACCAGTACAAGATCGTGGAGACGCTTATCCAGCACGTAAGTCGGGCTTCGCCTCATCAAGAGCATTCTTTTTCTGCAAGCTGCCGGTGGAACAGAATTTGGTTAAATATAATTTTTAAGAAAATTACTTTTTTTCTGTATACCTTCCTCCAAACTATAGATATATTTAGGGGGTTACATGATTTATCTTTTCACCTTTTTTATTTTAAATTTTAGCATGACTGGTTTTTCACAGAAGAAGGTGCTGAAGAACCTCTTGTAAGTATGTCCCTCGGCGCTTGTCCCCTGTTGTTTTCCTTTGGGACGCGAGACCCTGGCGCTGCAGCAATGCCAGCTCCCGCCTGTACGCTCTTGCCTGCTTTCCACCCTGGAAGCAAGTCTCTAGCTCCTCAGTTTCTAAGCTAAAGAAAATACAAGTACAATGGTCGTTTTATAGCTAATTATATCTAAAGGAGGTAAAATATTACGCTCATATGCTCCACTCAATAATGTGTCTTTTATTAAATGCTGCTTGAATTTTAAAGAAAGTATCTCTGAAGAGATGATGAAGTAGTCTTTGTTTATTAACCGTAGACAACAGTGCAGGAGGAAAACACAGTGGACTCCCAGCCAGTGCCAAACATAGATCACTTACTCACCAACATTGGAAGGACAGGCGTGTCCCCTGGAGATGTATCAGGTAACTCTTGCCTGGGCAGTATGGATCTCTAGGTTATATTTTATGTACCTTATAACATGAAAGAGCAACTCAATCATAAGTAACAATTCACTATGATTTTTTTCCCTTTTCTCCTTCTTTTTCCTTTCTAATAAGAAACTTAACCTCACTCTTCTGATTGATCTTAATTATCTTCCAGTGACTCTAATTGGCAGTGCATGGAATTGTAATGCTTGTCAGAATGGAAATATGAGGGAAATGAGCATGCGAACCACTGTTTTTTTTGTTTTGTTTTTAATTCACAGTTTCCATGTAATAGTCATCACAAGGTAAAACAGATACATGCTACTGAGTATGTGGTTGCTGTGATGGCAGACAGTATGATCTAAGCTGCATAAGTAGCTCTTAACCTTGAGCCAGACGTTCTGTTTAAAAGAAGCAAGTAAAATAAATTGAACTGCTAACGGACACCATTTTCAGAAATACAGTATAGTATTTGTCACTGTAGATGTCACCGTAAAAGCCAATCTATGACATTTTCTCTTTTCTCTTGCCACTCGAATGTTTGGTTAAGTATTAGTTCTTGTAGGCTCTTTTGATGAATATTTTCTCCTGCCAAACTGTTGCACTAACCGAGCATGCTGTTTTACACAATGTTCTCCCTTTGTCTCTAGTTCTTGTTCTAGTCCTAAAGGGTTTTTTCAGCATTTACTGACACAGGCAAATCTATACTGATGTTGAACAGGCGAAGTGGGAGGAGTCTATCACACGGTAATGTCGCTAGTGGATTCTGTGGTGTCCCTGATGGACAGCTGGAACTGTAGGAAGAAGGAGGATTGCTGTCCACACTGTAGCTGCCTTGTCTGCAGAAATCCCCGGTTCTTGTAAATGCAAACATCGTTGATCTGTGGTGTACATTTTCTCTTGAGATTCTTGTAAACAGATCAATACTACTTTCTTAAAAGTTTTTCTGCTGTTTCTTGTTATTTCTGAAGCAGACCGTGAGGAGAAATAGCATGGTATGGTCTACTAGTTCTTAAAGTCATAAAGCATTTAGCCATGTGTTAAAAGGGGCGTGGCACGGGGCTCAGCTCATTCATTTTGGAAATTAGTTTCCCTAAAGTCAAAACATAAAACTTCAAAATTGGTGTGATCCAGAATAGTGCTAGCCCCTTCCTACCCTCTTTATTATTGTATAATCTTAGTTTTTGCCAGACAGTAAAATTATGGTCTCCATTCTTTCATTTCCATATTAGCATTTGTTAATAGATAATTATAAAACTGGTAGCAATTTAAACAAATTAGTCAAAAGGATCCCTGACTGCACAGATATGAAACTGGGGTCTAAAGCACAAAGATCAGCATAATTTAATATAAAATCAAAGTAACCTGGAAGCAGGGTTATCCTGATGCCTCTTTTGCATCCATATGCATAGAGTATGCACTTATAAAATTTAAGTCTGACAAAAATCAACATTAAATACACCGAGAATGATTTCTCAATTTGTAGCTAGGGCAGCTAAGAATCTTAAACGTTCTACATTGTGTATCAGTTTCAGATACAGGATGTGGCACATAGCAATTCTTAAAAGGTCTTCCAGCTTCTTTATCGCTAGACTTACTATTTAGAAGATTGAATAAACACTAGTACTTCTGTTCTCGTTTAGCACAGGGCTCCTTTGCCATTCCTATCATTGAGCTGATTCTGCCTACAATTCACAGCATCCTTCCATGGCGGTGGCTTTCTGTGGTGCAGCTTGCATCTTTGTGAGCTCTGACTATCCACTGTGTTCAATGGTTCTGTTTGAGTTCTGCTTTCCCATTTTGTTCTGTGCCTGTCTTTTCCATAGTTTGCATTGTTTGTTGAAAGGGGTAAAGATGGACTAATATTGACCATGTTTCATTTAACTTCTGACAGATTCAGCTACTAGTGACTCAACAAAATCTAAGGTAAATTATTTCATACAATTGTGAAATATTTAAAATGGGGGGGGGGTTTGGCTGATTGTTATGATTAGTATACAAATGCATCCCTGTCTGAATCAAATGGCACAGAACAACAAGGTCTCCTAAAGGGGAAAATTAATTTCTTGGAATAGAATATGATAGAAGTATACTAGATTATGAGTGGGAATATCCAGTTTCTCTCAGCATATTTTAGCATAATACAAAGAAGTAGGCTTTAGTTTCTTACTCCTTTTTTTTTCTTTTTAATCCTAATCACCTGAAGATACTTTTGCATTGATTTTTAGAGAGAGGGAAAGACAGAGAGAAATATCAATGTGAAAGAAACACAATTGGTTGCCTCCTGCACATACCTTGACCAAGGTCCGGGCCAGAGAGGAGCCTGCAACCAAGGAACATGCCCTTGACTGGAATCGAACCCAGGACCCTTAGGTCTGCAGGCCGATGCTCTACTCACTGAGCCAAACCGACCAGCACTATTTCCTTACTCTTTAAGGTGAAAAATTTCTAACATACAAAAGTAGAGGGAATAGTACAATGAGTCTCCAACCCCCATTATCCATTCTCAACAATTGACTCATGACTTAACTTTATTTCTTCTGCATGCCATGCACTTGCCTCCTCCTGGGACTATTTTAAGGCAGATCTTCGAACACCATATTCTTATATGTGTAAATATTTCAGTAGTAATATAGACTTTTTAATTATTTTTTATAGAAAATATTTTTATTTCAGCAAAATCACTAATTTTGTTTTTTATGACCAACATTTTTAACATAATTTGTGTTGTATTGACACCATAAAATTGCACAATTTTTTAGTAGTTTTTATAGTTTTCAGAAAGGATTTTGTTAATTTAACTTAAATAAAACCTTGTTTTGTTGAGACAGTAGCAACTAGAAGTATCAATAAATTTTTAAAAACATTTATTTGGACATAAGATATAAATTTTACTTATGTGTAAATATCATAATGGGATTGTATACCATTAATTACAGTTTTTGAAGAAAATATTACAAAATTATTTTAACCAAATCAGATTATTCACTGTCACTTATATTGTTATTTTCATCACTTTTAAAAAATATATATTTTATTGATTTTTTTACAGAGAGGAAGAGATAGGGATAGAGAGTTAAAAACATTGATGAGAGAGAATTACCGATCAGCTGCCTCTTGCACACCCCCTACTGGGGATGTGCCCGTAACCAATGTACATGCCCTTGACCGGAATCGAACCCGGGACCTTTCAGTCCGCAGGCCAATGCTCTGTCCACTGAGCCAAACTGGTTTTGGCTATTTTCACCATTTTTTTAATTTTGGATCATTTTAAACCTACAGACAAGTTACTAGAATAATGGTTAGCATTCAAACCTTTTATTCTAGTTTCATTGGTTGGTAAATAAATGATATGTAATTTCCCCCAGAATTATTTGAGAGTTACTTAATAGACTAGCTAACAGCTTACTCCTAAATATTTTCCCAGTTGTCCAAAAAATGTCCTTTATTTTTTTATACAGCATGCAGTCAAGAATAACTCCTTGCATTTAGTTGTCATGTCTCTTTAGACTTCTTTAGAACAGTTTCCCATCTTCCTCCCTCCTCTGAAATATAAGATTTTAGATTTCAAACCTCTTTGAAATTCCCTTTATTAAATGCATATTGTTTAACATGTTGTGATAGCTGTCCCTTGATCTTAATCATGATGCTATTTATACCATGCCTGCAAAATAATGGATATCCAAATGGTGTAACTTTTTTTTTTTAATTTATTGATTATAGTATCACATA